AAAACAAAAATTTAAAAAATCGAAAAATTGAAAACCCGGAAAAACGAAATCCGACAAATCCATAGATCGAGCAATGGAAACATCAAAGAATTGAAAAATCGAAAATTGAAAAATTGAGAAATTCCCAAACTGAATTCTCGAAAATAGGAAAATCGAAAAATCGAAACACGAAACGAATGAGAAAATCCAAAAATTTAAAAATTTAACCTCATTTACAATAAAAAAAGAATATAATCGAAAAACTGGAAAATTGAAAATCTGAAAAATTTAAATACCAACACGTTGAAAAATCGAAAAATCGACGCACTAATAATAATCTTGATAAATTGAGAAACTGAAGCATGAGAAGTAGGAACATCGAGAAATTGAAACAGTCCAAAATTGGAAAATTATAAACTGAAAAATTGCCAAATTATAAAAAATCGAAAAATCGGGAAATCGAAGCAACGAAATTTCGATGAAAATTGAGAAAATAAAAATTTAAAAAATCGAGCAACAGAAACATCAAAAAATTGAATAATCTACAATTTAAAAAATAGAAAGATTCACAAATAGAATTCTGGAAAATTGGAAAATCGAAACACGAAAAGATCGAGAAAATCAAACATTTAAAAATTGAAACACTTAAAAAATGAAAAATTGAAAAACTAGAAGATCGAAAATTTGGAATCGAGAAATCAAAAAAATGCAAAACTGAAAAATTTAAAAATTTAAAAACCGAAAAATTGAAAAATCAAAAATCATGAATTTTAAAAATAAAAAAAATGAAGAATCTAAATAAATAAATTAAATAAATAAATAAATAGTTTATTGATCATCCAACGGGCAAATCGCCCACATAGGACATAATAATAACTAATAGTAAACTTAACCCAAATTTTTTCAATATAATGCTAATTTAACGCCAGCAATAAACTAAAACCGAGAAGATGAAGAAAGATCGAGAAATCGAAACATTAAAAAAAATGTAAAATTTTGAAATTAGAAAAAGAACTGAGAAAAATAGAGAACGAAAAATCTAAAATTTAAAAACTTTAAAAAATCAAAATATCGAAAAATTGAGAAATCGAAATATCCAAAAATAAAAAAAAAACAAAAAATCGCAATAGTGAAATATCCCAAAATGATATATCGAAAAATTGTCGTATAAATGCAAAAATTGAAGAATTCCAAAATTAAAATATTGGAAAATTGAAAAATCGAGAAAACGAAAAGTAGAAAAACTGAAAGTGTTAAAATTGAAAAATTGGAAAAATAAAAAAATTAAAAAATCGAGAAGTTGAGAAATCGCATATCGAAAAGTCGAAATATTGAGAAATTGGGAAAATAAAAAAATCGATGAATCGAAAAATCGACAAATTAAAAAATCCCAAACTGAAATTGAAAAATTGGGAAATTGAAAAATCAAAAATTCAAAGAATTGAAACATCGAGAGATCGAAACACAAATACGAAATTGAAAAATTGAGAAGTCGAAAAATCGAGAAAATAAAATAGCCCAAAATCGAAAAATTGAACCATTTTAGAAATTTAAAAACCGAAAAATTTAAAAATAGAAAAATCAAACATTTCAAAAATCAAAAATTTTAAAAATTAAAACTGAAAATTCGAAAAATCGAAAGATCGAGAAATCGAATCAAAATCGAAAAACCTAAAAATTAAAATATCCAAACATTGAAGCATCGAAGCCAACTAGTACATACAATTTAAGGAACAGAAATCCAGCTCTTTAGCAATAAACCAGGGAGTGGTCCAAGGTTCAGTCTTGGGGCCTCTACTGTTCGTGATATTTATCGACGATTTCTCAGAATCGGTGACTTCAAATACGGTTTTAGACGCAGATGATACCACGTTAATAAATAAAATCTCACTCGGTCGTACCGCGGATGTTGCTACACGTGTTGGATCCGAAGCCTTGGACTGGTTTACCGCAAATGAATTTTGTTTAAATACCGACAAAAGAGTAGGTGTTGTATTCACATTATCAAAACAAGAGTATCCTCCTAATCATGATTCAACGACTTACATAAGTATGTCCTCAATCTTTGCGACTAAAAAAGTCGCAAAATGGTACTAACTATTATGGAATAAAATTTTATAATAAACTGTGTCCAAATAGAAGAACTTAGAGAAAACTGTCTATCTTTAAGAAAAAATTAAAGAGTTTGTTATCAAATAGGGCATATTATGCATATGAAGAGTTTATCAGTGATGTAAATGTAATATACTCGTATATTAGTAATATTGTACATTTTAATTATGTACACTTCTACCCTTCTGCATATTTAATGCTATAACCTTATAATTGACTTGTACCAAACATACTGTGTATTTTTATGTACAAATGATTTAAAATAAATAAATAAAAAAATTGAAAAATCGAAAAATCAAACATCAAAAAATTGAAAAATTTAAAATTTAGAAAATCGAAATTTTTGAAAAATCGCTAACTAAAATATGGAAATACTAAGAAATCTAAAAATTGAAAAATTCCAAAATGGAACACTGAAATATCAAGAAATCGAAAGGCCGAAAAATCGAAAAATCAATGAATTGAAAAACTAAAAAATTGAGAAATCGAGAAATCGAACCTCGAAAAGTTGAAAAATCGAGAAATAGGAAAATCGAAAAATTGAGAAATCGAAAATCGGAACATTGAAATCTTGATAAATCGAGAAATTGAAAAACTACAAAACTGAAAAATTAAAAAATCTAAAACCAAGAAGTCGAAAAATCGAAAGATCAAGAATTCGAAAAATTGAAAAAACTAAAATTTAAAAAATCAAAATTTTGAAAAAACGCAAAATCGTAATATCAAAATAAATATTGTTAAATCTTAAATTCGAAAATATGAAAAATTCCGAAACTGGAACACAAAATATTGAGAAATCGAAAAGCCGAAAAATCGAACATTTAAAAAAATCGTAAGATTGAATGATCGAAAAACAGGAAAATCGAAAAACTGATGAATTGAAAAACTGAAAATTAAAAAAAAAATTTAGACAATCGAAGCATCGAAATCTCGATTAATCGAGAAAAGAAAAAATTGAAAAATTGAAAAACTGAAAAATATAAAAACCGAAAAACCGAAAAATAGAAAAACAAAAAAAAAACATGAAAATATGCACCTAAATCTCGATAAATTGAAAAATCGAAAATTGAAAAAATGAAAACTTTAAAAACCGAAAAACTGAAAGATCGAAAAATAAAATATTTTAGAAATCGAAAAATTGAAAAATATAAAACCGAAAAATCGAAAAAAAATCGAAAGAATAATTAATAAACTCAATAATTAAAAAACTGAAATTTTGCAAAATCGCAAAACTGAGATATCGAAATACTGATATATTCATAAATTGAAAAATCGAAAAATTGAAAAATTCCAAAACTGGAACATTGAAATATCAAGAAATCGAAAAGCCGAAAAATCGAGAAACAAACTGAAAAATCGAAAAATTAGAGAATTGAAAACCTGAAGAATCGAGAAATCAAGAAGTGGAGAAATCGAACACCGAAAACTCAAGAAATCGAAAAATGGGAAAACTGAAAAATGGAGACATCGAAAATCGTTAATGGAGAAATCTAAAAAATAAAAAATCGTAAAATGGGAACACTGAGGAGAAGTCGAAAAATCAAAAAAATCTTAAATTTATAAAATCAAAATTTTGAAAAATTGTAAAATTGAAATATCGAAATATTGTTAAATCTAAAACCGAAAAATTGAAAAATTACAAAACTGGAACATTGAAACATTGAGAAATCGAAAAACTGAAAAATTGAAAATTTAAAAAATCGTAAGATTGATTGAAAAGTCGAAATATCGAGAATTGGGAAAATCAAAAAATCGGGAAATCCAAGCATCGAAAAATTGAGAAATCTAAAGCTTAAAAATTGGAAAAATTGACAAATAGAAAAATCGAAAAACTGAAAAATCGAGAAATCGAAAAATTTTAAATTTAAAAATTAAAATACCGAAAAACTGAAGAATCGAAAGAAGGAAAAATTAAGGAATCGAGATATTAAAAAATCAAAAAATCTAAAAATTTAAAATCGAAATATTAAAAAGTTCCAAAATTGAAATATCGAAAAATCGTATAAAAAGAAAATTCGAAAAATTGAAGAATTCTAAAACTATAACATTGAAAAATTGAGAAATCGAGAAATCGTAAATTCGAAAAACCGAAAATTTAAAAATCGACAATCGAAAAATAAAAAACCTGATAAGATTGAAAAATTGGAAAAGTCGAAAAATTGAAGAATTGAAAAATCGAGAAATGCAGAAATTGAGAAATTGAACATGGAAAAGTCGAAATATAGAAAAATGGGGAAAGTCAAAAAATCGATTAATGGAGAAATACGAAGAATCGAAAACTTGGGAACGCAAAAAAATGAAAAACTGAAACAGAGAATGGTCGAAATATGAAAAGATTGAAAAACTGAGAAGTCGAAAACTCGAAACATCGGGATCTCGATAAATTGAAAAATTATACAACTGAAAAATAAAAAATCGAACAATTGAAAGATTTAAAAACCGAAAAATTCTAAATCGAAAAATCAAACATTTCAAAAGTCAAAAAATTGAAAAATAAAAAGGGGAGGTTTTTATCGAAAGATCGAGAAATCGAAACATCAAAAAACTGAGAAATCTAAAACTTGAGAAAATGGACAAATAGAAAAATCGAAGAACTGAAAAATCGTGAAATCACAAAATCTAGAACTTAAAAAATTAAAATAACGAAAAATCTAAATTTAAAAATTCCAAAAATAAAACATCAAAAAACTGAGTAATCGAAAACTGAAAAATCGAAAAATTGATATACAATTTTGATTTTTTTCCAAATCTTGATGTCTGAAACACGGCTTCATAAATCACAAGTTAGGTCTAAGTTACTTTTTGACATTTAAATATCAATTATTCGCCAAAATTGTACATGACATTTCAATGTTAAACAGAGAGTAGAAATCCCATCAAATAACGTTTACTTAACCCATAATCCTCACCTTGGATGCTGCGCCGGCGAATCATACACCAAGAAGAACCACCCCACCGACCACACCAGCCCCACCGCCCCCGTCACGTAGAACACGCTCGCCCACCCCACCGCCGAGATCAGCAGCCCGCACACGGGCATCGTGAGCGCCGCCCCCAGCGAGCTGGCCATCATGTTGGCGATGAACTTGGACCGCTCCATGGGCGGAACCCACTTCGCCGCCATGGGCAAGATCGCCGGCCAGGTGGCCCCCAGGAAGAACCCCAGCAGCGCCCGCAGCACCAGCACCACGTAGTAGTTGGCGTAGCAGGCGGCGGGCGTCAGCACCGTGAGCACGCTGGCCACCAGCATGCCGCCCCCGAAGACGCGGCGCGCGCCCACCACCTCGGCCAGGCGGCCGCCGGGGAGCTCGGTCAGCACGTAGCCCCAGAAGAAGCTCCCCAGGATGTCGTTCTTCTGGTGCTCGGTCCAGTCGAAGGTGTCCGAGGTGTTTGTGTCGTTTTCTCTTCGGACCATGGCGACGACGGCGATGGTCAGGTTGACGCGGAGCATGTAGTTGAACATGAAGCCGAGAATGACCATGATGTTGAGGATTCGGCTGCATGTGAGGAAGTCTGGAAAGAGAAGTAAAAACTAACTTGAAGATATATTTTAAATATCATGAAATATTTTAAGAGAATTTTTTCGAAAAATCCGGATGTTTACGACAAAAAATAAAGGACGATTCATAAACTACAGATATAGAAGTACTCGTAAATTGTATTATAAAATGTAAATAGGATTTTTTTTGCAAAATTCTGACAAATTTTAGTTATGTATATCTAAAATTTCACAGCAATCAGTCTAGTAGCTTTGGGAAGTAGGTATATGTCCGACGGAAAGTAAGTCCTACTTTTTCAATTACTAGAAGTTATGAAACGTCGAGAAAACATGAAATTGGCTGTTTTCCGGATGGATAACCTATTTAAGCAAGTACATAACAAGTCTCTGGGAGGGCGGGGCTAGGGCCTGCTACAATAAGACCGATTTTAGCCAATGACATACCCTCTAAGAAAAGAGAGGGAGGGTGGACGGGGTTAGTACCTTCTAAAATAAGATCGATTTTGGCAAATGACATACCCTCTAAGAAAAGAAAGGGTGGGTGGGCGGGGTTAATAGCTGGTAAGATAAGAGTGATAATGAGATATCTTCTAAAAAAAGAGAGGGCGGGTAGCTGCTAAGATAAAACTAATTTTGGCAAATGGCATACCCTCTAAGAAAAGAAGGGCGGGTGGGCGGGGCTAGTACCTGCTAAGATAAAACTGATTTTGGCAAATCACATATCCTCTAAGAAAAGAGTGGGTGGGCGGGTGGGCCTATTAACTGATAAGATACGACTGATTTTGGCAAATGAGATACTCTTTAAGAAAAGAGAGGGTGGGTGGGTGGGGCTAGTACCTGCTAAGATAAGACTGATTTTGGCAAATCACATACCTTGTAAGAAAAGAGCGGGTAGGTGGGTGGGGCTAGTACCTGGTAAGATAAGACCGAATTTATCAAATGACGTATCCTCTAAGAAATTTAATTAAATTATTATAAGAAGAGACACTAGAGGCTCCAAAGCCCTTTCAAATTCTTTCCAAATAGAAACCTCTATAGAACCTCCAGATTGTTTGAAATTTTTCCAGAAAAAGAAAAAACGGGGTCCCAAAATTAAATCAAAAACAGGTCAGGTCAGAATTTACCAAAAATAGAACACCAAAATCCCCCAAAATTGTTTTAAATAATTTACCAGAAAAATCTCTATGGGCTCTCAAAATAATACACCAAGGAAGAAAAACGGAGTTGTGTTAAAGGAACCAAGTGCGTTATAAATCTAGAGCGAAAAGAAGAAAGTGAACAGTTTTTTGTGAGATAGAAGACTTTTCTGCTTTCGAATGTGGAAGTTTAAATATGAATGATCTAGAAGAAGTAGTCATTAAGTGAATGAACAAGAAGAACAAAAGTGAGTCGTATTAGAGGAGCAAATAGTGTGCTGGGAATCTAGAATGAAAAAAAATTGAAGAGTTTCTTGAGAGAGAGAGAGAATTATAAGCCAAAGCGAAGAATAAGAAGAACAAAACAGAGTTCTCTTAAAGGAGTCAAAAGTGTATTATAGATCTAGAGCGAAAACAAGAAATTGAAAAGTTTAAGAGTTTCTTATGAGACAGAAGAGTTTCTTTGGAACTTTCTAGAATAAATAGCCACTCAAAATGAAGACGCAAAGGAAGTGCTAGAAATCTAGAGCGAGAAGAAGAAATTTAAGTGTGTGTTGTGATAGAAAAGATTTCCTTTGAATGCTAAAGATTTAAAATGAACGTTCAAGAAGAACTAGTCACGCAGGAATTCGAATCCAAGATAAACAAGAAGAACAAATTGGAGAAAGAATGTGCTAGAATTTAGGGTGAAAAAAAAATTGCAGAGTTTCTTGCGAGAGAAGAATTTCTTTGGAATGTTGAAGTTTTAGTATGACCTTTCAAGACGAAGCAGTTACACTAGTAAGTAGTATCCAAAGTGAAGAACAAGAGCTGTGTTAGAGGACCAAAGAGTGTGCTAGAAATCTAGAGTAAAAAGAAGAAATTGAAGAGTTTATTGAGAGAAAGAAGAGCTTCTTTGGGGTTTCAATATGGGCGTTCTTGAACTAGTTACGAAATAATTATAAGTCAAAGCTAAGAACAACATGAAAAAAACGGAGTTTTGTAGAAGAGTCAAGAGTGTATTATAGATTTAGAGCGAAAAGAAGAAATTGAAAAGTTTACGAGAAGAGTTTCTTTGGAATGTTGCAGTACTAATACAGTATAACCTCTATAATCCGAACTCACGATTATCCGAACAGAGGCTAGTTGAAGTCGATATCTCTCGAATCCGAATTTAGTTAAATTTAAGAAAAGGTACTAGCCCCGCCCACCCACCCTTTATTTTCTTAGAAGAGTGGGTCATCTTCCAAAATCAGTCTTATTTTAACAAGTACTAGCCCCGCCCACCCACCCTTATTTTCTTAGAGAGTAGATCATTTGCCAAAATCAGTCTTATCATAGCGAGGACTACTAGATTTTTCAGTTTTTCGATTTTTCAACTTTCGAATTTTTCAATTTCGGGCTTTTTAAATTTTCAATTTTTTGATCTGTCTTTCGAATTTTGATTTTTCTGGGCAACTGAAAAAACTTTCGATTTTTTAGTTTTACAATTGTGGCAGTTTTCCGATTTCTCAATTATTTGATTTTTAAAAACATCGAGAAAATAGATGTATATTTTTTTAAATTTTCGATTTTTGATTTTTTTGTCACCGAGTTTTTGGAAAGGAGTAAAAAGTAATTTTGATCAGCGACTGCCGTGTTCACCGTGACTTTAAAACATCTGAAAATTTTGTTTCTAATTTTCAATTTTTGGATTTTTCGATTTTTAAAATTTCGGTTCGAATAAATTTGTAATCGAAAAATGACAAATCGTGAAAAGGAAAACATTTAACTTGAGAACTTGAAAGATTAAAAATCAAAAAATTCCAAAATTGTAAAGCTAAAACTTGAAAAATCAAAAGATTGGAATTGCAAAATTTTCAAAAAAATTATCAAATGAAATATTCAAAAGTTGAAAAATCTAAAAATTAAAAAAACAATGAAAACAGGAATTTCGAATTCGATTTTATAAGATTTGTTTTTTTTTTCAATTTTTTGATATTTTAGTTTTTGATTTTCCAATTATACAGTTGTACAATTTTCCGATTTCTCATTTATCTGACTTTTCAATTTGTCATTTTTTTATTTTTTTATTTTTAGCAAGTACTAGCCCCACCCACCCAGCCTTTATTTTCTTAGAAGAGTGGGTCATCTGCCAAAATCAGTCTTATTTTAACAAGTAGTAGCCCCGCCCACCCACCCTTATTTTCTTAGAGGATATGTCATCTGCCAAAATCAGTCTCATCTTAATAAGTACTAGCCCCGCCCACCCACCCTTATTTTCTTAGAGGATCTGTCATTTGCAAAAATCAGTCTCATACTTGCCAACATAAGACTGATTTTGGCAGATGACCTACTCTTCCAAGAAAATACAGGGTGGGTGGGCGGGGATAGTAACTTTCCTTAGAAGAGTAGGTCATTTGCCAAAATGAGTGTTATTTTGGCAAATACTAGCCTGGCCCACCCGCCTTTAATTCTCTTAGAGGGTAGGCTATTTGGCAAGTACTACCACAATGTAAAATTTCATTTTTGAAAAAGTTATCTAAAAATTCTGAATAGAGATATATATATCCCCACGTGCTGATTCCAAAAATATAGCATGTTTATGATACCGAGCAATATTTTCGGAAAATTCGGTGTAAAATTCGGATTTTTTTTAATTTTTGGAAATTGCGATATTTCAATGGACGATTCTGGAAAAACGGTTTAAGTTATTGAAGAAATGAAGCCAGAAGTGACTTCTGTGGCCCAAAACCTACATGGAAGTATTTAGTTAAATTTTGAAAATCATCGAGAATTATACTGTATAAACTTTCTAAAAAAAAGCCACTAAGTAGTTTTAAAGCGTAGCCAAAATGAAGGAGCAAAGAATGTGCTGGAAATCTAGAGCGAGAAGAAGAAATAGAAGCGTTTCTTGTGAGACAGAAGAGCTTTTTCGAGTGTCGAACTTTTAATATGAACGTTCTAGAATCTAGAAGAAGTAGTCACTAAGGAATTTTTAAATGTAGCCAAAATGAAGAGACGAGTTGTGTTAAAGAGACAAAGAGTGTGAAGGAAATTTAGAATGAAAAGAAGAAATTGAAGAGCTTCTTGCGAGAAAGAAGAGCTGCTTTGGATTGGTGAAGTTTTAGTATGAGCATTTAAGAAAGAGTCACATAATAACTAGAATCCAAAATGAAGAACAAGAAGAACAAAATGGAGTTGCATTAGAGGAGTAAAAAGTGTGCTGGGAATCTAGAATAAAAAAAAATGAAGAGTTTCTTGAGAGAGGGAAGAGCTTTTTGAATGTTGGGTTCCGAAAATGAGCATTCTAGAAGTCGTCAGGAGATAATTATAAGCTAAAGCGAAGAACAAGAAGAACAAAACAGAGTTTTGTTAGAGGAGTCAAGAGTGTATCATAGATCTAGAGCGAGAAGAAGAAATTGAAGAATTTGTTGTGAGAGAGATGCAGCAGATTTAAAGTGAAGGTTCAAGAAGAACTAGTCACGTAAGAATTAGAATCCAAAGTAGACAACAAGAAGAACAAAATGGAGCTGTGTTAGAGGAACAAAGAGTGTGCTGTGGATATAGAGTGAAGACAAAAAATTGAAGAGCTTTTTTGAAAGAGAGAAAAGTTTCTTTGGAACGTTGAGGTCTGAAAACGGAACTGTGTTAAAGGAGTCAACAGCGGGTTATAAATCAGAAGGCAAAGGAAGAAATTGAAGCGTTTCTTGTTAAAGAGAAGAACTTTTTCGAATGTTGAACTTTTAATATTCGGTTCTAGAAGAAGTAGTCACTAAGGAATTTTGAAACTTAGCCAAAATGAAGAAGAACAGACAAGAGTTGTGTTAGGGGGGCAAAGAATGTGCTGCAAATCTAGAGTGAAAAGAAGAAATTGAAGATCTTCTTGAGAAGAGAAGAACTTGTATGGAATGTTGAAG